GAAAGGATGAGACTCCAGCTGATGATATGCATCAGTGTCCTCGTTGGGACATCACTTCATTCATGAAGCCAGAGAAATTAGAAATTACACTGATGAGGGAGAAAGTCCACCAGTCACATACTGGTCAGGAGGTCCAGCGTGTACCGTAGGTAAGCCAGGATTTTGCCCACGTTCATGAGACTAGACGTCTGCTAAAGATGGGAAAGGTTATTGACTTCATCTCTGTGTCCAGGTCCAGCGTCTGATTCCAAAGGATGTGTCAGTTTAGTAAGTTACTGTGTGTTAGCAGAATACATGTAAAAATCAACAGTGACTTCCTGTTTGAGCCGGAACAAGGACTCGATGTTAGGCTGGTTCCTGCCTTGCTATAAAAAAATGTCACTTAATATTTGTATTAAAATTATTAAACTATGGAACATGCTCCGTTTCAGTTCAGAAATATTCTGCTTTGAACTTGGCATTATTGTAATTCCTCAGAATTGCCATTTATGTATTTATTTGTTTGTTTTTTTTTAAACGTTTTAAGGCTATTGTTGCATTTTTGGTTAAAAACCCATTTTGTGAAGGACCTGGAGTTGCACCTCCGATGTGAGAAAAAACTAATAAAATCATAATTCTCAATATTATCCCACTAAATTATTGTGATTTTGTTTTGCTGGAACATAATGTGTTGGGGCAGAGTTGCCAGTTCTCTGGGATGACTTAACAAATGTTAATGCAAAGAACCAACATAAAATTGGCTGATATAATGTAAGTTCTGTGACGATGTTTTTAATTTCAATTGGGTTTTTTTTTTTAACTGGCAAAATAAACATTAAAAAATCCATTTACTGTTATTTCCTGAACATAAAGAACATGAAACATAAATGTAACCATCCGTTTGTACTTTTAGGGTGGGCATGGTCAAAGTGGGAAAAATAAAAGTTTTATTCTAATAGGGAGTCATCTTTTATACTGATATGCTGGATTAAAATACATTTCAGCACATATTTACCTCCCACATATTGCACCAGTTGGAATTAATGCAGCTGTGTGTGCATAAGGCAACAGTTGAGCTTCCCCAGTGAGTCAAATGTATTTTTAAGGAGGCAAGTGTAACACAAAACCAAAGTCACACCCAGCAGCTCTCCTCCACCACTCCTCATCCCATATCACCTGGAAACCTGACTCATTCATCAGCCTCAGGGAAGATTCAGCCGTGTTAGGATGCTAGCCTGCAGCAGTTCCCTCCCTGCTTCTTCACATTAAAATATGATTCATGTGAGAGTCTTGTTTCACTAGAGGGCAGCAGAGCACAAGGGATCCATCTAAACCCAAGGCGTGATGAGCATCAAGTCTCACAAAACGCTGCTGTGTAAAATAAAGAAGTCAGACTCTTAATAATGCCTATATGAATTTTAAGTAGCGAGATGATGTGTTATGAATAAGGGAACATCAGAGCTGGACGAGGATCTCAGAGGCTGTGACAAGTGCAGCCCAGCAGAGCAGCGACTGGAAATGACCTTGAGGATGTTATTTACTGCGTGTGTGCAGGAGGAAAACTGCAGTAATGAATCACAGGAACTAATTCTAACCTGCCAGCTGGAGACCACAAGCATTCTGTCTGAACAAGGCCTGAGCCATTTAAACACATCTGACCCAAACAATAAGAACTCTGAGGTGGCAACAGACTCAGCACAGTGGCTCCTGACACGATGCATGAATACACTGCAGAGCAGCCTCCGAGTCCACCTGGGGGGCATCTCTCTCTCCTGCCATCGCTCTGCTGCCTATAATAAAGGCTCGAACAGCTCTTGTGTAATGCATGAAACACATTAAACAGTCAGATCACAGAGTGCGGTGCTCGTGTCAGTGGATTGTACGAACCAACTACAGCCACAGACGCTGTGAAACAATCTGCTGCTGAACTGCCCTCCTGCTCCACAGGGAGGTCAGAGGGCCACCACAGGTCAGTGCCACTGGAGCTACAGGGGATTAATAAAGCCTGTATTCATAAGAGATGCTAATTACTACCACGAGACTGGACGGCCTGCTTCATTAAGGCAATGCATTCAAATCAAATCAGACACAATTATCTAATTAGAATAATAACACAAAGGAGGAGAGGGAAGGCTGCTCAGAGATCAGTTAGTGAAGGTGTGACAACTGCTGTGAGTTCAGTGTCCCTGTTTGTTTTCCTATCTCACCAAGCACCAATACAATAAGACCATAAACACAATCAATGATATTTAAAGGACAGATTCTCTAAGTAAAGGACAGGTACCGGTGTAGTGTTGCTCACGGTTTCTGCTTGCTGTAATCACCCCTCCTGATTTGGCCAGGCAGTACGTGGTAAACCTAGTGTCCCGTACCAACACACCTCTAATGTTGATGGTGACTAGTGCTAAAGGTACAAGTGAGGCTCATGGAAATAAACCAAAGCACTGGACAAACTGGAACGTTGATGATGGTGCTACATGAAAAGTTAGATGATCATCAAAGTTAATACAAGTCACCCTGAAGGGGGAGGAAGGTCTGAGCCACCTTTCATGACAATTCAGTGGTGCTGTTTTTGCAACTTCTCACTGAAAACCACAAACGTTAACCTCATGGTGGTGCCAGAGGAAAAGTCAGGGGATGATTGGAGCCATTAGGGTTCATCCTCTGGGCACCATGAACGCCCGCACCGAGTTCTGTGCTCATCCATGTTGAGACATTTCACTGACCTGCTGGTGCTGTTAGTCATCAGGGAACATCCTCTGGGCACCATGCCTGGACCAACAGGGCTGTGCAGATTTTTTGCACAAGGTCTGAAAAGGTGCTGTTGATCTTCATGCGTAGATTTGTCTTTCTCCCTGCAGTGAGTAATGCATGGAGTTCAAAGTGAACAGGTGCCTGGTATAAGGAAGCCTTAATCGTCTCAGTAGGTCGGGCCACATATTCATCTGCCCCAAGTCTTTAACTGCATCTGCCTCAGCAGCTGGTAGACAAAATGACTCATCAGCCTCAGGGAGGACTCCGCATCATGTTGCTGGAGGGCTCTGTTCATTTCCCACCAGAGTCTATTTCTACAGTAGAGGGCAGTAGAGCGCAAGAGAACAAGGGAGTCTGCTCTGTCAGCATCTCTCACACTACACAACATCATGTACATGGGCAGGACAACACAGCCCAGGTTCCTGTCTACATGCTAAATGTCTGTATGGAAAATGAAAAGGCACAACTTCCGCATTATCCTGAAAGACATTTGGTTATTTTGACAGGGGCTCTGGGGGGAAAAAAAGAAACGGATGAGGGCATGAGGAAGAGCAGAGTGACGCAGCCGTTCTTCTTCCTCCAGCTGAAGGATAACAACAGCTCTCCACAGAGCGGCCGAGTACATCTGCAGAACGAGTGTAGCAGGCGTACAGTGTTCAGTAAAACTCCTCCTTGCATTCATCCTGAAAAATCTGAATTGATGAGCAGAGAAACAACACATTCAGATGCTTTTCTACAGAAAAAGAGAGCTCAGTGAATGGTGTGAACAACTGGGCCGATGAAGGGTGAAGCCTCGTGTCTGATTGGCTGTTTGTGCTCTGTTCAACTTTCAGTGTGTATGAAGCTCAGTCAGGTGATCCTCAGACCAATGACAGCCAACGTTAGCAGGACAAAAAGACCAGAGGAGGTCGATTTATCTGCAGCCTCTAACAGTACGATGCTACTCTGTCTTCACGGACAAAGACTAGTTAGCATAAGAGCACATATGTCACTGGACGGTGGATCGAAGGGCGGATTAGCCAAAGCCAGTGTCGAAGTCTCACCAGCCCCGTACAGTATAGTCAGAAACCAAACAACACACCCGAAACCTGAAGATAAAGCACTGCAGGAAAAAGGTTTGACAATTTCTGTTCCTCATTAGGCGTCCAAACAAGTATGAACCCAATAAGAGGCTGTGTCCTGGAGAACAGAAAAACGGTCATCCTCCACCTCTAGATGTAGGAGCCACACTGGAAGGAACATAGCCCTGCAGTCTGGGAGGAAACTGGGCCGTGTGACCATCACACACGACCTGGTTGTTATTCTCGTGCGCACATGTGGCTCACGTTTCAGTTACGTCCAGGCATCTGTGGTAGTTTAGGAGCTCAGTGGTGTTCACACCGGAGCCGGGTACACAGCACTGACACACATGGATGTGAAGCAGCAACACAACAAGGTCAGCTGTGACTGAAACATCAGAGCTGAGCGTTGAGGCCTGAGAGATGAATCTCAGTGTCAGTCTGTTGATCGTCTCCTTTGGCACAGACTGAAATATCTCACCCGATATTTGATTGCACTCTTTTGTCCAAAAGAGCAGAAAAACAGTAACCACACACTCCATGACCCAAGCAAACCCAGGGGATGGCAGAGCTTGGAGACGTCAGGGTAAAGCAGACTATACACAGCCGCCCACGTACTGCGATTTGCGTCATGATCCACTCTACGGCCATCAGCGCACGTCAACTGCCAACGACGAGCCTCCCACAGTAAAAATGCAACGTGATCTTCAGTGTCAAAACCTGAGCTTCAGTTTGATCTGTCATCCCATCCACATCTGAACTCCTTTGAAACAGATGAAGACGGCATTGCAGAAAAGGTCTTGTCGAAGGAATATCAGGTTGAGGTACGGCGAGGAAACACCTGGAGGGGGTTCTCTTCAAAATAAGATGTCATACATAATGGAGTGTGTGTGCTGTTCCTGACAGGCCAATGCACTGATGGCTTCTGAATCAGTACAGCTAAGAGACAAAGCAGCACAGCATTCCTAGACGACTGTGGTTCAGTGGGTAGAGCGGTCGACTCCCAACCAGAGGGCTGGAGGTTCGAATCTCGGTGCCTGCAGTCTACATGTCGACGTGTCCTTGGGCAAGACACTGAATCCCCAAGTTGCCCTCAATGGTTAGAGCCATCGGTGTGAGTTGGCGCAGCAGATGGCTGCCTCGGTTCTGTACCGGAAGCAAATTCCTTGTGTGTGACATACCGGGCCAAATAAAGGTGATTATCCTAGACCGATTTTATACAGTATCTCATTTTACAGCCTCAGAAAAAGGATGTGCAAATAGCAAATAACAGTCTTTTGATGCATAAATCAGGAGGAATTAATGGGAGCGCTGAGGGGGCACCAACAGAAACAGTAAGAAAACAGACTGAGATCAAACTGATGACAGAACAAACTTCATCACGTCTCTGCCCGGTTTGATTTCCCATGTTATTAGCAGACTTTAACAGAGCCCTGTGATGTTCAGCAAAAAGCCTTTATGTGTTCGTTCCTCATTTCCCACTTCTAATGTCGACAGCAGAGCAACAGTCATCATGGAAACACTACTTATTATCAGACAGTCATTCCCCTCTCCAGGGCAATGGCATTTCTGACGATGAAATTTAGTAAATTAAGACACAAACGCTAGAAATGAGATGTTTTGTTAGGAAACCGGGGTTTCTGTAAGTCGATAAAGTATTTTTTATACCCCACACAATAACATTTAACTAGTTTTTAATGAACATGAGGTGGGAAAACATTCATTATTATAGTATTCTAGTACTTCTCATCAACTGTTCCTAACAATTTAACCAATTAAATTAACATGACTTAGACCAGGATAAGTAAGATAAAGCAGACGGAGGGAATCTGGTTCCAGCTTCTGTTTCATGACTGTGAGCCGAGTGTTTTTTACACAAACCTGAACGTCACTGCAGACCAGATCAGACGTCTCTTCACTCAACAGCATCTTTATTTTATTCTTCTTACTCTCCGTCCATGACAGAGTTACACACAGTAACACCGCTTCTCTCTCTGTTTATGTTCAGTGTGAGCACAGCTGTTGATGTTGTGGCTGAGCACGACGATGGAAATGCAGTGTGAAATAACACAAAGTACAAGAGCTGAAATGCAGGTTTTTTTTTTTGTTTTTTTTTTAAGAACTCGCTGCAAACAACTTGCTGCGAGGCGTTGCTGATGAACCTCTAAGGAATTAAACGGCAGTGAACAGAGTACAAGTGTGAGATGTTTTGGTTATTTCAGCGACATCCATCTTCAAAACGCCTCTCCTCAGGTCAGACAGAACGGGAAGCTGTGTAGGCAGAGAAATTAATACAGACGTAAAGTAAACGTCTTGGGTGAACATTTTGACAACGAGGAGGAAGAAAGAGCATTATTCACCATTTTCCCTGTCCCGTATTGTTTCCCAGATGGCCTGGAAGTCTGAACCAGTGATTTGCTTCTTGCACACCTACTTTTGTGACCTTGAGGCTGGGCTGCAAATGACAGCAGAAAGTTACAGTGGGAGGAGGAGGAGGAGGAGGAGGACGAGTAGGAGAAATTATTTCTCTTCAAAAGGAGAAGCAGGAGTGGGACTGCAGAGATGACAGAATGATGCTGGAGATGAAAAAGTCGAGTTTATAGAGGTAAAAACAGAAAGCCTTTATGCAAATGTGTTGCAATAGTTTCTTGGTAATATTTGAGCTTCAGTCCAGACGACAAAAGCCAGATGGTTTAGCTTGTGTGAAATGGTTTTGAGATGCCTTGTGAAATGTTCCCAGCATGCTCAGAAACCCAGAGCTACTTCAACCATGACATGATTAATAACCCTGCACTTAAAATAGGCTTCAACAATTATAGGAGATGGATAGAAGAAGTGCTGTTTCTGAGTCAGAAACACTCTAATTACAGAGTACAAAGAAGGTGGAAGGATTTGTGTTGGTGGGATCTGTGCAGAGACATAAGACATATTATAAGAAAGCAACTTCCACCTGTGCAAACGCCACACAGAGCACTTAACAGGAAGCACTTTTTCACACTGGTTTGAAAGTCGACTTCTTGGTCACAGAGACCAGAGTTGGTCTGAAAGGAAGTGAATGCAGGACTCCCCTGTTAGGAGCACACAAACAAACAGCTGTAAAAAAAAAACAAAAACAAAAAGGACAAAACTATTTTAAATGACTTGTTTCACTGGAATGCGAACTGATTTAGTTGGACTCTTTCAGAATGAGGCCGTGAAATCCTGCACACGGTCAGAGCTACACTTTCTGAAAAAGCAACTTTTAACAACCTGAGACAACACTTTGACTGAAGCTGCAGTTCCAAGGCCCAACACAATAATCTAGTCATAAGGTCCCACAGGTCACACTGCAGGTCAGGACTCAAATCAAGATTAATTAATTAAGATTAACCAAGTAATAATTCTGTGAGACTGTGGTGCTTTTTCTTTTTCCTGTGGAGGCTGTGGCTCAGAGCATCCATGGAAGCTCAGATGCATGAGTCTAAATTAAAAGCCGTTTTGTGAGCAGCAGCTCACAGCTATGGATTGGTCGTTGGTGTTTGCTCGAGCTGATGTTTAGTCGCAGCTGTGGCAGGATGTAAATCTCACAGTTTGTTCACTAAATTTAAATGAAACAGTTTATCTTGTGTGCATCCCCTGCAGAAACATGAGGGGTAAAAATTAACTTTACTCCAGAGCGTATCCTGTGATACTACATTTATGTTTAATTGACAGATAAAAGTGGGAAGGACACACAGCGTGTTTATCCTCTGCATCCATCTGCACGGCGGAGGAGACTGTTTGATGCTGCTGACTGAGTGTGACACAGATAATGTGGTTATCAGGCTGCCTAGCAACCTCTCTGCAGGGGACACACCGACAAGAGGCCTCTAATAAATATACTACTTAATTTGAAAGAAATCTGTGTTCAGTTCAGTCCGAGTGCTCGGAAACAGGTCTGGCACTTAGTTCACCGACACTGCAGCTGGAATAATACGCCACAATATATATTCGTGTGAATTTGCGTTAGTGAAGTGAACAGATCCGATACTTGTGCATTCGTGGGGCAGTGAGACATGATCAATCTTTTAATATCACAGAAGAAACCAGTGATTGTGCACACTCAATTGTACTGACTTTATGTACTAACCACACTCCAGTCAGAGACACTGACCGTCACACAGCTGGATTCTCACTAGGTTTCTGAGCATCCACGAAGGTTTCAGTCAGCGATTTGCTGACATCAGTAGGTATAACTCACAGCCAGTATCTGAGTGTTTCCATCTGATCTCTTCATTTAGTAAGAAACCAGCTCAAAAAACAGACCGAATGAAGCTTCCTTTCTGGTTTGTTTTCAGATTGTAAAAACAGCGCAGGTGCAAAAATGACTGGACGCTCCCAAGATGAAACAAAGCAAACTGCCAACACTCGCAGTTCACAGGCAGAATGAGACAATGAGCAGCGTGAGTACACCATAAGTTGTCAACTTTCAGCTGATCGACTAATCGCTTCAGCTCTAGTCAAAAGTCAAACAGGCCACGGCTACAAATAAGTGTCATATCAGTGACCACCGGATTCAGAGGTACACCCAGAATTAGCCACATGTTCTTCACTCATGTCCCAAATTTCAGAATCAGATATAAACATTTCCTGAAAGAAGAAAATGAGATTTCTGGGTCTGTTTGTGTCATTATTCAAAGTGAGAGCGTGTCTGCAACTTTGATCCATCTATTCTCCGCCGAGATGTCTGAAGAGGCCCTCAGGAGCTGTCGAGTTGTTTCCACTTATCACTCAAACAGCCAATCACACGGAGAGACATGGCTGAACAGTCTCAGAGACACACGAGGCTGCAGAACACACCCTGCTGATGATTAAAATCCCCTCCAGAAACCGAGCAGCACATTGATTCCTTTGACTAAATATATGACACACATGCCAATGTTTCCCCACAATCCTGAAGTATCCTCTTAAAACTTTTCTTCGACATTCATTGAAGTAAAAAAAAAACAGAAGGAAGCTATGCAGGAGGGTAATTAGCTCCCTAGTTACCCCTCTGTAGCTCAACAATGATCCACAGGCATATTATACACTGTGCTGTGACACTCCGAGCAGTGTAGGGGTCTGACTATAGGTTTGAGGTGTAATTAGGAGCCAAACACACAGAGACACCCATGGAGTCATCGACTGTCACAAACTACCGTCCATGTGAAGCTGTAGCAAGCAGGGAGCTAATGCAGAATCCAATTAAAATGAAGCCAAACCTGCAGCTAAACAGAGAAGTTTGTGTGTTGGGATGCAGCTCTGCATGTGGACATCATCTAATGAATTATCTTACATTCATTTTCTCCATTCGTTGGTTATTTATCCCATAGATGTCAGCCAAAAATGAATCATTTCCAATGATCCAAGGTCACGTCTGCAAAAGTTTCATCTTCCAAAACTCAAGACAAGACTTCATTAGATGTCACCTTTGGCTCATGGCAGTTGTGATGGCAATTTTTGTTATATTATTTGCTCCAGAACACACATATAACCAAGAAAATAATCAGATTATCTGAGCTAAAATCATCATTATTTAGCCTAGAGCTGGATTTTTTTATTTTAATAATGTTATCTCTACCCTGGTACACATTTCTCTGCTGCAAGATCTCTGAATTTCACATTTTCCTCAGCAGACCGATTATGAATTTAAAAGCAGTGTGGTTCCCAGAGGATGACTCAGAACTCCAGTGAAATCTCAGGTCAGAGGTGGAAAAGAGGCTGAAGGACGACACAAAGCCACAGTTCCTTCCACATTATGCATCCTGGTGTAGCCCCCGGAAGACCACATCCTAACCATAAGCTCCATTTTTCAAAGCCCATTGTGAACTTCAAAAGGCCTTTTCTTTTATTTTTCACAGCTGTGACCTGTGAAGGAGGTCTGAGATTTTGTCCAGATTTCATAGTTCAGACGCTCAGGAGAACAGGCAGCAGTGCCCTGGTGATCAGCTGCAGATGCCATCTCCTCGGCCAGAACAACAGCAGAATAATATTGAGTCAAGAGGCTAGGATGAGTTTTACACTTCGTGCCTGACACATATGGAGGAGCGCAGATCAAACTGACTGATATATATGCAGTGAGGGCTCCAGAGAACTCCAAGTACAACATCCAACCCAATGCTAAACAATTCTGTACTAACACTTTTTAAATGTTATTAGTTACACCTACGTTTCAAAAGGTCTGTTGTAAGAGAGATCTGTAACACAGAGAAAGTGTGACAATGGAAACACCTGAAAAGTCTGTAAAACAAATTAAAGATACTCAACAACATGTCTTTTCAGCCACTAGAGGGCCTACTGAGATCCTGTTTCATAACAACAACATAAACTATGGATGTCTGGTTGGGACAAACTGCAAAATGCAGCCTGCAGTCTGAAGCTAGCGTTAGCTGGCTAACAGTAGATGTGTCCGTCCAGTAGAATGCTCTGGTTACTGCTGACGTGACACAAAGCACTGATGTTACACAAAGCTCCAGTTCCTCCCAGATTAAAATCATAACAACTAAACACAAAGGTAAAGTCCTGACCATGCTAGGTGGCTAATGCTACCAAAACAAACTGTTAGCTTTAGATGCTAACATAGCCAGAAGGATGAGACACCACGTCCTGTCCCACTGTCACTGGGGTTAGCAGACAATGGGGAGAATCTGAGTTAATGCACATTTAAAGGCCTTTGAGGTTCTTCTACATTGTATCAAAGTCACTTTACAACCTGGAGTTTAATGTAATTTAGGGCTTTTTAGTGATCTGCAAACTCTGATCAAGACAAAAGGGACAAACATGCTTTTATACCCATTAGACATCAGACACAATAAGAAAGAGCAAGAGGAAAATAATAGTGATAATAAAACAGTCTCAGAGGTAGAGACTTGTCCTCAGTCTTTATCTCCGAGACGGACTTCCTGTCTTACTGGGTGCCGACAGCAGTGAGGTCCACCAGGAGTAGCCAGCGACTCAGTGCAGATGTTACAGTCCCATATTCAAAGCTACGCTCTGATTGATTGCAATTTCCTGCCCCACTGATGACAGGCTGTCTGGTCCAGTAGGCTGTATCAGGCTCAAAAAGGGTCTGCAGCACACGCCGGTACAGACGAATGCTCAAGAGTTAAAACAAGGTACTCCCTTAACGTCCACGAACCAAGAGGATGACTACCGACATGACTGGGTGCTGCACCGTTCTGGATCTGTTGGCTGAACTCGTTTTTGTGATAATCTTTGGCACAAGTTTGTGATGCTAAAGCTGGGAACAAGCCTACAAAGACTACACACCTCACACATAAAGGATGTTCTCCATCAACATTAATTTTCTCTACTCCTGACAGTTAAGGATAATAATAAGGATAATCACCTTTATTGGTCAAGTATGTTACACACAAGGAATTTGTTTCCGGTACAGAACTGAGGCAGCCATCTGTGGCACCAACTCAATCGATGGCAACAGGGGGGTTCATTGTCTTG